TATTAATTATTAACAAATTTGATTTGTAATTTATCGACGGGGCCACGGAATTCTCGAAGCTCGGTCGCGCGACGGTCGTGCCCTTGACGAGACCTTTTTTTACAGCCTTGAGCGATATCTTTTTTATAATCTTGAGGAAACCAGGGAGCCTTTTCATAGATCGATCCAGGGACGACCTTTCGGGAGACTGTTCGGATCTCCGTCACGACGACTCGCGCGATCTTCGAGCTCCCGGCAATTACGTGTCCAAACGGACCCTACTAATAAACGCCATAGAGGTCCGAAAAGTAAATTGGCTCGAATAAATTGAATTTCCTTTAACAGGTATCCGAATTTCTTTCTTATCGATCTTCCACGTGATCACTTTGCGCAGGATATCCCGATGGACATAGTCAGGTCATCAGTCGGGAGGGGGTGGGGGGTACTTAACTATTACCAAAATTATTTGGTAATAGTTAAGTACTAATAGTAACTGCACGGTTTCAAGAATTCATACAATCTATTAACGTCAAGACAGTAAGTAAGACTGAATAAATTTCGTACCATCAATATCGTTGGACCATCAGGAATCAAAATAACGTTGTAGATAAATAATTTCGTAATTACTCACTAAAATTCACCAATGTGTCTTTCAGTTTCGGTATAGACAGATTACGAGAGCAACAATGTAGCGCGTCTGTATTTCGATCACCTCTAGCTCTAGCTCCTTACGTTCACTGCAAGTCGAATAATTTGGACGAGCGGGTATTGGTCGATAGTATTCATAATGCACGAACGTTTCTTTGAAATTCACGTTGATACGATAAAAAACCGTCTGTAATGTTTCATTTCTCGAGCGATCATTACTAGTCCGATCTTTTTTTCTTTTTTTTTTTCGTTGTTCGAGCAGTGCTTAGATGGTTCACGAGGAAACTTCACAATTAAAGGTAATCTGGTAGATTGAAGCGTCGAATTATTCATAAGTACAGCACGGTCTTCGCGTATAAAGAATTCAGTGATATCTACGGTCTCATGGAGCAAGCTCGACGTTATGTACCAAACTAATAGGATATAATTATGCGACGAAGTATTCGATAAGCTTGACATATCATTACTTTCTTCGGGGACACGACCGCGATTAGATGCGCTTTCTCGTTTGTCCATCGATTATCTTGGGTTTATTACCACTCAGTGGCTGCGTGCGAGGATCAAAAGGGAAAATTACTGTAAAGCAAGCTCACGCAAGTACAGTCGAAAAATTGAATCGCGATGACAGTAAGATCATCGAAGTGTTCGGAAATTCGTTGTTACACACGAAAGGCTTGCTGTTGTCGACGAAAATCGTGAAGTACTATCTGTTAAAAATTCAGACTGCCATCATGCTCCATGGAAATTGGATGAAATGTTTCCTCGGATAAAAATTCCTACGCTTGTTTTTGTGGAAATTCGAATCATAGAACATTGTTTTTCAAATTGTTAAAGGCTGGGACAGTCGTGACCTAAAGTAACGATCGCAAGATCTTAGCATCTATTATCATTACGAATTAAAACTACGGACAGAAGTGAACAAGCGTTTCGTGTGCGACAATTTCACCGTTATCGTTGTTTTTTTGTTTGCTTTTTGACGGTGCATAGGAAAAATGATTCGCCACGAATATTGTAGAGTGACGTCTCGACGATCGAAATCCTAAATCCGCTCGAGTATCCACAACGGACCCTTTCGGTGATTGGCGTGTGGCCGGAGCAATACCGTACTACGAAAGGTGACATAGCGTACAGTATAACGTTCTGCTACTTTGCGATCGCAATAACATTGATCGCGTATGGAGCGTACAAAAATTCGCACGTTCTCGACGTGTTAATCATCATAGTGTTGGAGCTGATCCTGACGGGCACGAACTTCATCTACATGTACATATTACGGGCCAGCAAGGATCTAGAGCGCGTAATTGTAATGATGAAGAAGGAGATCAAGGACGGAACGATTTTCGAGAACGAGGAGGAGAAATGCGTGTATCTGCCATACAACCGACTTTCCTATTATTATAGCAAATATGCGATCACAAGCGCATTCTGCATCAGTTATTTGATGTATTTCGTTCCCCTGATAGAGTTGGCCGTTCATTTTCATGCAGGTAATCCATCGATTCGAATAGAATTTTCAATTCTGTATTACAGGCTTCACTACGTTAATAATAAGACATTTATTAAAACCTTTATTTTGTTGTATTTTCCAAGTCAGAAGATGCTATAAACGCATAAACATCCGCAGTCTATAAAAAGATATGCATTTATCGTTGGTAATTCTAGTGTTAATAACTGAATGATTGAAATTGAAATTTTATCGAATATACTCATTGAAATCTTGATACTCTTCGTACATTTTTTTCAGATCTGGGTAATACGACACGCACCTATGAGATGCCATTCCCCCTTTACATTATGTTCGACTACGAACATAACGCATGGTTATACGCTTGCACGTACATAGCCGAATTTTTTTTTACGTACGTCGGAATAATTCATACCTCGATAGTCAGTTTTGAGGTCGACGTGGTGTTGCACATCTGCGGAAAGTTATGCATTATGTGCCATCGTATTCGAACCATACCGGCGCAACCACCCGAACTATTCGAAAAAAGTGCAAAGAGGATGGCGTCATCGCATGTGAAGTTAACCAAGTGAGTATGTTTACATACTTTCCGCCGACAAAGAAATTGTATTCAATGTTCAAGTACCGTTCAAAGTACCTGTCTATGGCCCGGGGTTATTTAATATACGAATTCGGAATTCTATAAAATGATTTTTCGAAATGAGATTTAAATGGTAACATACTGTTTCTTTTACGATTTTTATTTTGTTAAATATCGTCCTGTTCCCACGAGAACGTTAAACCAGGTTCTGACCAAGGTATGCGGAATCGATGAAGTGAGCACGGTAAGCTTTTGTCGAATTAACGATCCTGGTAGAAACTCGTGATCGGACACGATCCTCCGAAATTGTCCGCGCTGTTTTTAAGGTATACTGTATTCAGCGATGTAACTAATGCATGTTTCAGGTCGTTCAAAAATGTAAATGATTGTTTGTGCATAATCCTTCTGTTGGAATACTTGAGTTGCACCTCCAGATTGGGCCTTTCTCTGTACGTTGTGTTGACCGTATGTAATTGAATCTGCTCAGCAAATTTGTATGTCAATAGAGACTCGTGATATGTGTAGCAGCCACGAAGTCTTCCAATACACCGATCATTAGTACAGTTTTATTATTTAAATTGAATGAAAAAGCATTATTTGTCCGAAACGAATACAGAAATTGCTCTTAGGCTTTAAGGAACGTGGACTTTATGTATTATAGTTAAAAACTCGATGAACTTTTCTTCTGATTTTTAATCCGACTGGAATTAGGTAGAATCTTTACTGCACTATACAGATTTCGCTGAATTACTTTATTAAAATGTATACTTGTATCATCGTTTACAGTCAGCTCGTTATTAATGCTCACTATCGATTCCTTTTTAAAGTAAACACATTTTCTCGTACTGTTCAAAACAATAGAAATATTGCAAGTGAAAATCTTAAGTGACTCACCCTGTACAATTCCCGGAAGTAGTATTGCAATAATCGTTTGAGTATAAAAAAAAATGTATGTGTCTCAATTTGTATATCTTTCTCATTTTACAGGCATTAGAAACGAATCCGGTGGCGGCCACGAAATTCTTTATGTATACCCTTCAAGGACTGAGTTTGATCTTCTTGTACTCTTATGTAGGTGAAATTGTCTTATCCGAGGTTCGTAATCGACCATGTGAACATTATATCCACTGTTTTTTTTTTGTCGTTTAATTGCCGTTTGTATTGGTTCGTAATGGCCGTTTGTATTGAACGCATACTATACTGTATACACACAGTAAACTCCTCGAGAGAGCTGCATTCTTTTCAGTATCGAGAGAGTTACCGATTTCTCCACTCCAATTATTATCTGAAATTTCAAATTTCTATAATATGTATTCCACGTTGTTGAGACAATTTTTAACAGACTGGCCAGATCTTCTAATACAATATATAAAAGCGGACACCACGTGATTCTTCTTGAAAAAATAAGAAAAAAACATACAATTAAACTTTGTCATTGTCGGCTTAGTTTTCGAGAAAGTCAAATTTCCAAACTAGTCAGACTCCCGCGGCTAGTTAACATGCTAAACACTTAATGCTTTTAATAATACGCCAAATATTCACGGCAACTTTATGTTTAGAACGAGAACGTTGAAAATGCATTATCCGATATCGATTGGCCCGAAGTGGCGATCAAAGACAGAAGAACTTTCTTGATCTTTTTGGTAAATGCGCAACAAGCGCTGTATCTTACCGGCGGAAAATTTTACAAATTCTCGCTGTATGGTTTTACTGATGTACGTACAGCTACTTACTTGAAGTTGTTCATATTCTCTATTTCAATAATTGGCTAACGCTATTATACATTTTGGAAACAGAAAGAGGTTATCTTACGGGTATTCAAGACCAACGTATAATTGAAATTAAAATTAAGGTCCATATACGATAAATTTTGAAATGTTTGTATGTGTCTTATGTTTCATATGAAGATTCTTTTTGAACTTAACTGAAAAATAGTTAGACGCGAGTTCGGAAAACGTGTTTCAAATCACCTCACGAGTGACCCTTTTCTGGGACCTACAACACTTTTGTTACACTCTGTATATATATATAATATATAAGTATCAGACATTTCGTTTGCAAAACGCGAGATTATTCAGATAATTTTTTTCTATTTTTCAAACAGGTTATAAAGAGTGCTATGGCATTTCTTTCCATGCTACGGGCTACGATGTAACATAGAAAATGATATCTGAATAACTGTTGTTTCCACGATGCCGCTGGACCGTTAGGAATGAAAATAAAAGTGCGTAAATAATTCGTGATTATTCATTAAAATTTTGCCTATAATCCAATACACGCAGAAAGCTGTAATAGAACAAAGATATTCCCAATATTTTTCATCGCATTACATTTTATTGAATATGGTTTCATTACAAAAGATTTTATATACTTTACTTATATCTATATGTTACTTCATTAATACCTTGGCAAGCACCATACTTTCGTGACAGTTCGTATAATCGAAGATACCTTTAGCGACAGGTGCCAGTTCGAGATAGTAAAATACAAATCGGACGTATAAAAAGAATTTCTTTGAATATCGTGTATCTTCAATATTACCAGAGATTGACTGTCATTAAGTTAACGCTTCGTTGTTTCTGTAAAAACACTGAAAAACCAATGGAATGTTCATTTCCTCCATATGCAACCACAGATCTTTTTCATTCAAGTATTATTACTTACGTTTGTCGCTATTTCGGATAGACTGTTCGCCATTGCGAGACCAGTCTTCTGCACCATATCGTAAAAATAGCCCTTGTTTTGCAATAAAACGTACGGATGGTCGAATTCCTAAAACAAACAGAACACTCGAAACGCATTCTCTGTCTTAATCGTTCCTAGAACGGGGATTCATAAAAAAGAATTTTATACTCTACATTTTTTACGCTGACTTTTAAGGCGAATTTACACTGTTACACTTTGGATAATCACCGCGGACGATTCATCGAAAAAACATTGGTTTCATCCGCGTTTCGTGCAAAGTAAATATGGCCGATTCTTAATATTTTTTGGATATTCCATTACTAAGAATTTTAATAACAAGCGAGAGAATGAAATAGAAGAAGTTAATGTATTCTTTCCGAGAGAAGAATGGAAAATACCATACTTTGTTTCAAGATCTATTGGGTCAACTTAGTAAATTCGATGAATATTTCAGAATAAACCGTGAATTCAAGCAGTGAACTGGTATAAATACTGCACCTTTCATTTTTCACATTCACCGTAGACGAATCATCCATAATGATCATCCAAACTGAATGTTTGTAAATTCAGTTTTACACCTTTCCAGTGTGTACGAATTATCCGTGTTGCATATCCAAAGTGTTAAAAGTCTAAATTCGCCTTGAGCATTTCACAAACATCAAGAACACAAGGAACGAGAACATTCGAATAACTCATCTTACCACCAGGTGACCTTGGTCCATCACGAGTATCTTGTCGCTATCCATTATGGTATTCAATCTATGCGCTATAGTGAAGACAGTACAATCGACGAACTTCTTCCTGACTGTCTGCTGTATCAGTGAATCAGTCTGCGGATCGACATTAGCAGTGGCTTCGTCGAGCACCATGATCTTATTGTTTCGGATCAGCGCTCGTGCAAGGCACAATAATTGACGTTGACCGACGCTGAAGTTCAGCCCGTCCTCGGCGACTTTGGTGTTCAGACCAGCGGCCATATCGGATATAGTTTTTTTCAGTTCGACTTCTTGCAGCGTCTCCCACAATACGCTGTCCGTGTACTCATCGAAAGGGTCTAAATTCCGTCGAAGACTACCACCGAACAGCACTGGTTCTTGCGGTATGATGCTGATCTTCGAACGGAAATCGTGCAATGCGATCGTGTTCGTCGGTATGTTATCGATCACGATCTCCCCGTCGATGTACGCTAACCGAAAGAGAGCGCTGATCAAAGAGGTCTTCCCAGCTCCGGTCCTACCCACAACACCGACCTTCTCTTTGGGCATCACCACAAAGTTGATGCCTTTCAACACATTAGCGCCCTTCGGTCCGTATCTCAGCTTCACGTCCTTGAACTCCACGAGACCCTTGGCGGGCCAATGTTCAGGCGCCTTACGGTCCGGTCGGCTATCCAGAAAAGGCTCCTCCTCTAGATTACTGTACTCCAACACCCTTTCTATGGATGTCAAATGATTCTCTAACTCAGCCGTCTGTCTCATACCCCATTGCAGGAGCCCGATGATCCCCGTGACCTGCGTGATCACCAAACCGATGTCACCGGCCACCGCCAGATCCTTGAATATTATGAACAGGATCGTTAACATGGCTATGTAGATCATGCAAAATATCTCGATGTAGAGGCCGAACACCCGGGAAATGGAGATGAATATGAACCACGTGGAGGTGTGGAGGTCCTGGTGGTTGTCGAAATCTGTGGTTACCGTGGTTTCGGCTCTGAACGCTCTGATCGTCGTCAGACCTTGCAACGTGGCGCCTACGTGGTCGAACACCGGTGACCGTGCTGGAATATGCGACTGTACTTCTATGTCCGTGTTACAGTGAGTGGCGATTGAGCAAATGCCAACAACGGCGAACGTGTTATTATTTATTTTTGGTGAATAATTGATTTGAAATAACACTTACTGATGCCTTCCATACGTTTTACGGACCGACTGGTTGTAATGTATACTACTCGCATATAATAGATGACTGCGATGAGGATTCCCGTTGGTATTAGCAGCCAAAGACTGACGGTGCCGATGATGATTATGGCGCCAATAAGAGACAAGCACATTGTCATAACGTCAAACATAGTACACGGCATTCTCTTGTCGATGGTACCGATATCCTTCGAGAACCTTGATCGAGAATTGATTTCTTTAGCATCGATATTTTAAAGGTCACATCACGAGGATACAATTTGATTTTTCTATATTTATGTTTCTAGTTCTACGTTTCTTGAGATATCAAGGTGAACTTGAGTTCTTTCAAGGTCAATACAGCTTTCTTTTTAATACCATCATGCTATAGGTCGTTTAATTCGTCCTTCCATCAACAGCAACGTGGTATTAAAGAAAAGGTACATTGACCTTGAAGAAACTCAAGGTCACTTTGATATCTAAAAAAAAAAAAAGATATAAAGAAATCAAATTGTATCCATCCGATGCATCCCTTACATGCTGACACAATCAATAGATAACGGATTATTTTAGATAGTAAAATGTACTCAGAATCAACCATTTTCTGTACAGCAACGCCTAAAGTTAGTCCCGTACACGTGAACAATTCACTGAAAAATACGTACCTATTAAGTATCCGACCGGCGGGATTGGTATTGTAAAAATGCATCGCGGCTCGCACGATGCTGCGAAACATGTCCGCGTGCAGGTTTATCGAGGCCCGCATACAGACACCGTAGTACAAGAACGTTTGCGTCACGTAGACAAGGACAACGCCAACGACCAGCCCACTATAAAGATAAATAATACCATCACGCGACAGCGGCCCATTCCACTGGAAGTCCATTGTACCGTTCACGGTTGTGACCCACGCTGCGACCTCGGTCTTCACCCAAAACGCGACCAAATAATCGCTGCCGCTGGATATCCCTTGGCTGAATACGAAACAGATGATCATCATGGAAACCAGAAGAACGTTCTTGCTGGCTTTTAGATAGGCCAATAACACTCTGCCAGAAATCTTGCCAACGGTCCTGGTTTCGGCCACTTCGATCGGTTCTTCGCTGACAACAGTCTCCTCTTCTTTTTCCTTGGTCTCGACCAACTGTCCCTTCTCGTCCATGTTCACCGGTACTTTGGTCTCCTTGTCCTTGTCCGCATCCCGAAAGATCTGCATGAAATCCAGATTCATAGACTGCAGCTCCTCGAAACTACCCTTCGCCTGCACGCTACCGTTGTTCAGCACGACGATCTGATTGGCGGACTTCAGGTATTGAATCTGATGGGTGACCAGGATTCTGGTTTTCCCGTTCAGAAAGCCCGAGATGCATTCCTTCACGATCCGGCTGCCGACGTGCGGATCCACCGCGGACAGGGGATCGTCCAACAGATAGATATCCGCATCCATGTAGATCGCTCGAGCTAAATTAATTCTGGCCCGTTGACCGCCGCTCAGATTGATACCCCTTTCGCCAACCATGGTGCTGTCGTGATGCTGGAAACCGTCCAGGTCCCGTTTCAATTGACAGACTCGAATCACATCGTTGTACCGTGTTTCGTTGAACGGTTGGCCAAAGAGGATGTTCTGTCTGATCGAGGAGGCGAAGATCCAAGGCTTTTGATCCGCGAAACTGATCTTTCCGTGCACCTCCAGATCACCTTTCGTTAACGGCAACTCGCCGAGTATCACCTGTAGTAAACTGCTCTTTCCAGATCCTATCTGGCCGATCACCGCGATGAAGTCACCCGCTTGGACCGACAGATCCACGTTCTGTAGGGTGTAATCTCTGGACTCGTCCCATCTGGCGGTGACATTTTTTATGTACACCGGGGTCGATTGGCAGGCCATTTGATTCTGCTTGGTACGGCAATCGAATCTTTCCGGATGCATCATGAACTTCTCGAGGCGTCTGATGGAGACCGTTGCTTCGGCCAGTTGATGAATACCTAAGCGTAGTTCAAGACCATTGCGTTTATATATGGTGTCTCAAAATGATGGGATACGCCGGAGCGTGTATATTCTTTACACCGAGATATTAGCAGTTGAACTAACGCCAATCAATTGAGCGGACAGCCACGCGTGCGCGCAGTTACAGTTCAGAAGCGCGCCCGACCCAGCTCAACGGTCTTTGCTTCACTATATCTACGCGTACATGTGGCCGACCGCTCAGCTGATTGGTGTACATTCAACTGCTAATATCTCGGAAATAGAGCTTCAAATTACAAAATTGTAAAGGACTTCTCGATTTGTATTTGCATAAGGAATATGCACGTTGCTGCTTATTCCATCATTTTGGGACATCCTATATATTGCCCAGTTTCTGGCACTTTTTTAGCTCAAACGCGTAATCGGTTCTTGATTCGGAGATGAAACGTAACTGATTTGATGGAAACGATCGTGTCACTTACTCAGGGGAAAGCCCATGGTCATTGAGGTGCGTAAAAGAGCGAAGAACGCTGTCGTCATGAACACTTTCTCAGCGTCGATGCTGTGCCCGGTCAAAACGTATGTCAATACTGTTATGAAAAGGCTAACTTGAGGAACGTAAACGCTGAACGTTAAACCGAACTGCTCTATTGTCGAGTATTTTTTTATCGCATCCACCTCTTTCCTAAAGACAGAACAGTGTTTCGATTGGTAATGTCGGTCTCTAGAGTGTGTGCAGAGTGGAAAACGGACCACGTAAGTTTTTAAGAGAGCGAGCTTAGTTTCCAACTCGGCGTAGGATTTGGGGTTGATTTTGTGCATCAAGGTAAGATTTGGGACTGATTTCAGGTTCAGTGTAGAATTTCGGATTGGTTTCGGCTTTGTTTCTAGAGCTTGGTGCAGAGCTCAGTCTTAATTTTGGATTAGACTTAGGTTCCGGTTTGGTTCTCAAATGTCTTCTACGAGTACTGTAAATTTACTTGCAATTTGGTAGATGAAGATGCGATTTTCCAGGGTCTGAGATCAGAACGATATGTTAATTTTTTGTAGAGACACAGCAGTCATGTCTACTTATTACTGTAATAATGGATGGTCAATATAAATGCAAAACACTGCTATTGGTATAGAATATGAATGTAGATGTCCGAGACACGATGAAAATCTAACGGTAGTAATAATAATATATTTCCCTTACCGTCTGGCATTCTGAACAAGAAGCGAGTATGGAACCTCCCAAACGTACATTTTGATTACTTCCACCCCAGCGATGATTTGATTCATCAACCTCAGCCTATTGTCGGTTTTCTGGGCCGAGCTGTGTGTCAAACGCATCACCTTCCGGCCAAAGTACACTGCAACGGACACACAAAAAATACTATGTAAAATCAAAAGAGAAAATGTCTTTGTACAATACTAAAAATCTTTTAGTCCAACGATAAGTATTCGATCGGCAATGACCAGTACAAGTAGAACTATTATCCTTCGGATAGTTTACATGTACGGTTATGTTAGAATTTCTTCGATAAATCAAACAGCTTACTCTGCAATGGTATACAGAGAAGGAACGTTATCATTCCAGTGAAGGCGCCCAAACCGATCTCGCGGAATATGAGGTACGCAATTAGAATCATCTGGACCGGTCCGATCCACAAGTAATGAATACAAAATACAAAGTAGTCGAGCCTGTTCACGTCGTTGCTCAGGAAGTTCACCATCTGTAACATCGACATCAAACCAGTTCGAAGATCCATACTCGAGCCCCATTTCGTTTCGATTCGCGTGATCTCTCACCTGTCCAGCAGATGTTTCATTCTCAAGGACGGAATTCGACAGCCTCAGGATCTTTCTGTAAATCAGAGTGCAACAGGCCACTCTGACCTTCATCCCGACGTGCATCAGAGTTTGCAGGGACCAGTGCAGAACAATGGCGTCGACGATGGGCAGAAGACAGAATGCTGTCACGTAATAGTACATATTGGTGTCCCATGATGACCTGTCTCCAGAGAAATATCGTAGCAGTCTAGCCAGCAGAAATGGCTGAGCAAGCCTAAAACAAATATTATCATATTCAAATTAAGTTAATATAATCGTTGCATTATCGATAATAAATTGTTTCCTATCGCGCAAACTGAGACAAGAGCTATCAAGATGGTAAAGGCTTGGGGAATGTTTACGATTTATATTTCACGTATATTATTTCGAATCTTTAGTCTTTATCGTCGGATTAAAAAGAATTGTGGAAGGTCAATATTTTACGTCGTAATACTGATTGTAGTAGCATTTATGCGGTCCAAGCAACCATTTGTTCTCCACCAACATTTTAATATCGTCTTTCAGAGATTCTCCCATATCATGTGAAACTTTAAGATCTGGTAAAGACTACGCTTAAAAGCAGATGTGGTCGTGTTCAGCGTCACAAGTAGGTACTATAAAGTAGCGAAAAACGTTTAAAGAAGTGACGGTTACACATAAGCAATTCCTTTCGTCAGTAAGAAAGTAAAGTCGTCATTTTTTCGAAAAAACTAATTGAATGGTGTGGTCTACCGTACCGTATAACGAATTCAAGAATGACCAGCCATACTGCCGTGTACATGACAATATTGCCAAAGGACCCATAGAGTACCCTGAACAAACTTGGCTTCGAGTGATTGCCGTTCTTTTCGCATCGTTTCACCTCGTTCTCCCAGTTCTTCACGATACGTTTCCCTAACTTGTCGCTCCTGTCCTCCAGCAGAGGTGAATACAGATCGCTCTCTTCCAACTCCCTTCTGTAGCCGACCACGAATATCTTCAAGATCCACCTGTTCGTCAAATTTGATTTTCTATTAAATGTCAGAGCGATTACAACTTCTTTCGTCAGAGCGAATTAATGTACAGGGTCTGTTAATAAAAAATTCGGGAATCTTTTACAGGATGGATTCTACACGGCGAATTAATTATAAGGTATATATTCCAAGGTATTCATTGTTTAGGATACAGGAAAAATAGATATAGCTTACATAAACACATATAGCTTACCCGAATAATAGTTTCGACAGTATATTGGCATTCTCTCGCGGATTTTCCACCTCCTTTTTCTGATTTTTGTCCATCTTCCAGAAGGGAACTCGGTTATCTAAATGGGTTTATAAAAATATATCTATTCTGTACATCGCGGTCGCTGCAACAAAGAATTTCAGATCGTTCAAAAGACTGTGGCAACGTGGAATCGTATTTACGTATTCTACGTACACTTACGATTCTAGACTATTTATATCGAATAAACAAAAGTTCCAAACCGATCGATTTTATTCTTTCACTTCAATTACATGCTTTCTTAACACTAGAACTACCAAACCCGTCAAAATGCTGGATTGCAGATTTCATATGGTACAATTACCCAAGTTATAATAACGCTTTTTGTGGAATTTATTGTTGGCTTCTGAGTTAGGATACATTTCATATGAGACTGTATTACGCTAGATTGGATTATGTATTATGTGTATTACACAATTTGACAAGTTTATTTCGTATACATTCAATGCTGGTAGTTCTATTGTTAAACCTTCACGGATGTAGCGTTTCGAATTTTCAATCTTCCGAAATCAAAACTTCACTTCTAACAAAATATATTTTTTTTTTCATACCATTCACATATCAAGATACGTGTTTCTTATTATTTCGTACAACTTTGAAACCACTTTTCTTCTAGTTCAAAATTATTGTCACGGGTCACTGATGTTGATCACGAAGAAGTTTTCGGACAACTCACTCGGAGCGTTGCCTCTAGCATTTAATATTATATGGACCATCAGCTGTTTGTTTGTATCTACAAGATCTCCTCGATTAATCATTTGAGCAATGTTTGTCTTAGTCGAGCCTATCGAGGATCCTGTCGGTGAAAAATATTGGTCTATATTACATCATTCTTGTCCTTGGTGGCAGTTGTGTCGCTGATGAATATCAATTAAACCTCTGGTAACCAATCCACTGTTTGTATCGAATTTACTGATCGTAAATTATTAGTGCGTAAGATACTTGATTTCCGTGTACACAATGATTTTGTCCAGGATTTTGGTACAATCCAGTAGTTTCGATGTAATACGCGATTTAACATTCATTCGAAACGATGAAGTAATGTAAAAATTACTTCATTTTATCAGAACAAATTGTACCGTTGAGTTTAAAACATCCTGTACACTTCTCTTTTACTTTCCCTGCCTCCTAATATTTCTGTATAATCGTACAGTGTCAATGCAATACACCGTTTAAAATTTATTTGAGACGATTACAGTAATGTAAAAATCAACTTATTCGACACAGAAGTCTGTACCGTTGAATTGGAAACGTCTTATACATGTATCCGTTACTTTCTGACCTTCTGTTACCACGAAACGGTGTGCTGGAACGCGGAGTAGTAACTTACGTGACCTTCCATGAATGAGCGAAGAGCGTACTCACGCGTCTTAATTTCAATTGAACATTCTTAGTGTGTTCCACTGAGAATCTACGCGGCGTGCCGTGTTCATTATTTTTATCAACGTCTGTCGACAGATTTACAACGCGTTTGTTGTACGGTAAATATTAGGCGCTCAGCGAAACTGATACTTCCGTTACGCTAACATGTCACAACTCCCCCGAATTACACTTCGTCCAATCGTATTGAAAGGATCGATGACGTATAATTAGTTAAATTTATTTTAACCAACAATACACCGGTTTGACTGTTATACAGCTTATTTCAGGGCGATCGCGTATGTATAATGACAAGACCAGCGGTGTTCAAGCAAATACAGATTTTTTTCTATATTAACTTACACACAAACTGGGTGTCAATTGGAAGGATGTGATAAGGCATCATTGTTATGTGAGACGGTGTATACAGGGACCTCGCGATTATTGACTGATTCTTGATCCACGATTATTACCCAGGTGTTATCTCCACCACTGGGAGGGGGGAACCCGTGGAACCCGTGGAACCCGGCGCGGCTTCCAATTCACAAACAGATTACATTCCCGGGTGTCGCATTAATCCTCACCAATAATAAATCTCCTTAATATTTGCTCATGTATTATTACCCACCATTTACTATATTTTATTATAATGTAAAAGTTTCATTTACGAATATAATTAAATTAAATAAATTTTAAATGTTTCATTCTTTGATTAGAAACACCCCATTTGGGATGTATTGATTTTTAATCGGGAAATGCTGTTATGGTGGTACATATATTTTTTTATTTTTATTTATGTGGTACAACATTTTTAAAATTTGAGAACTGCTGTAATAGTGGATGTTAGTATCGAAGTCCACCTACTATCGTCGTTTGTGTACTCTATTTCCATCGAGACTTTATCAGTGTTGATTTCTAGACACATTTACGACTGGCCGAGGGCCGTGTCTATGCGTCGAGTCACACACATGCGTCTAGACAAACACATGCACATACCACCTGTACGTCTAATAATGGCGCGGGTGACTGCACTGCAAATAGACACCGCGTGCCAGTAGCTAAAAAATATCGTTATCGATCATCAAACGGTATCAAACGTAGACAGTGATTTTTTGGGGGGTGAAAAACTGCCGAGGCAACGATTTCGGATCGGCGGAGCAGCGAATCGTTTGATATTTTATCGTTGGCTTGAATAGTATTGAAGAAGACAGTATGTAACAGGTTACATGCGACACTTTATGTACGAATCTCGTTACAGGAATCATACGATTTATAAATTAACGATTAAAGAAAACGAAACTATTTGGAAACAATGTATGAAAATATACATAATTTGTCACGGTAATATATGGTAAATAATAGAATAAAAAGAACGATACTTTTACGAATGATACGACAAATAGTTGATTTAACATCTGTTAACACTAGAACTACCAATGATAAACACACATCTTTTTCGATCGATTGAGAAATATGGCAAACTTTTGAAAATTTACAAATTTATAAATTGACTAATTTCTTTACTGTCATATCGTAATAAAAGTTACAAAAGATCTGAGAAAATGGATTGTTATAACATTTTAATCATCGTTGTAAGAATGTATCGGTAAATCATTTTGACTTGCATGGTAGTTCTACTGTTAATATAGAATAGAACTGTTCCGTTGTTCCATCAAATATTTTACACGACGTGATCGCAAAGACACTGTCCAATGCACGGAAAATTCCTTGTCCTATCGCAATAAGCGACGGTTGTCGACACGTTTCGCAAATAATGATGAAAGTGAATAAATAAAATTCAATCTTACAGATTCGATCTTTATCGATCGGTTCTCCTGTGTACAAATTATTTTTAATTCGATTGGAAGATAATAACATCGATACACAGAAGCATTTATCTCACTTTTGTAATACGAACGTTTGCACGGAACCGATACAGTGCTAATATCGACCTATAAATGCAGAGCGAATGGACTTCGTGGTAAAAAAAAAATTGACATCGATACGAAATAATATTGTCAGTAAGCCATTATTTATTTTATATTTCAAGGAACATAAAGTTTCTCTTCCGAATTCGACAAATTAATGCGTTCCAATCTAGCCTCGATTTACTAGTGTTCCCAGTGATGATGGCACGGTTTCGTTAAAAAAGTTATTACATATATCGATCGTGTGATGCCTATTGAAAGGGTTAATGAAGCATTGACACAAAACTACAGATGTATCGTACATCGCCTGCTGAATTGTAAACTTATCTATTCTATGCAATGTGTCATGTCCAAACGTATTCTACTAATGCAGTTAAATCTTTAGTTCTTGATAATTAAAAAAAAAATTTCGAACGAGAACTGTTATATACATTATACGAAGAATACAATGAAATGTTCTATTGTATTATGAAATTCTTGTTTGCAGAGATCTCGATATTAACATTGCTATATCATTAATAAAATTGTGTGTTTTTAGATTACATACATGTTTTATTACCACGGTACATGAAGTGTATTTTTCATAAATGATTTATCATGTATTCTTGTAAATATTGACGTCATGTATCATGATAGCTTCCGCAACTAAAGATATCGAAATAATGGAACTAATATGCACAAATATGCATTTGCTAATAAGCATCGTCCGTTCTCGTAATTAAAACTTACCAGATTAATTTTGAACATTTCCTGAATTGTTTTACAAAAATGGAAAATAAGCAATCATTTGTATGTTTCGTCAAGGATTTTAAAAATATAAGTATAAAATAAAGTGGTATTCTCATTGAGGCATTTTTTAAATTATACACTGCATATTCATATATATTATTATTCTATAAAATACGTTGACCAATTATTGTACAAAGTATAAGATATTTCACGGAAGTCTACACATAACTTTGGTTGCAAATATTTATGAAAAAATATAAAACAGAGTACTACAACGGTAAAAGAATTTTCAATCGAACAAGTAGGTATTTCATATTCTCGAAAACAAGAAGAACAATTGCCTGTATACGTTTAAACAGGATATACTATTTACTATGACAGACAAGTGAGCAATTGCTTTTTTATTTACCGTTTATAAATATTTTCCTCGTCCAAGATCAACTTATTATTAATTTCAAAAAATTTACACAGGAGAAAATCGTCACGAATTTCCAATTCGAACTATCGAATCGATCGTTTGAATTCACTCGTTTGAAATTGCACTTTCGATTCTTCAATATTGATATAAAGGGGATCGAAATTGAGAGGTGGAAGGATGTAGTTATTGTTTAAAAAAACGGAGGTAACATGGTACTCACGTCGTTTCTGGTCCTTTGGTGTTGCCACGAAGATTGTTGTCAATTAACAGCGTGATTGAATCCTTCATAAACGATCCGTGCATCCAGACACGTGTTACAACACCGTCGCGGATGCCTCTCTCCAACTGAGGAACGGGTGAGAAGGTACAAACGTTTTTTATATCACGCATTCCCTGAGACGACGTGGAGTATCGATTTAAGTATGTAATGCCGTTTACCTTAATTCCTATCGTTTCGAGTGCTATCTGCTTCACGAGAAACGCATACATGCATGCTCGATTGGTCGAGTCCTGTCTACAGACTGCTACTTGCTGCTACTGCCCCCAACTACATGTCCCTGCCGGCCAGGAGACATCCAGTTTG